CATTAATGACCAATTTAACAAATAATAATTTTCGTCCAATTTGGACCTCATTTCATAAACTTATTTAAGCGAAATGAATTTTGGGATCTCAATTGTGAATTTAGTGAAAGTATGAGACCTTATTCAATGTTTAGCCAAATTTTAAAATATGCAGTTTTGGCTAATTCTGAATAGCAACCCAACTTAAAGCGAAAATTTTCAATTAGTTCTGAATAATAAAAGTGATGACATGTTGTTGACGACCACTTAAGATTTTTTAAAATAAATGAAAAATTAAGTGTGAAAATATAAAAAAGAGGGAGTCGCCACTCGTCCAAATTATAAGGTGGGACAAGTCACCTAAAATGGGTCTGCGCAGAGATCGGGGTTCGGGGGTTCGGTTAGGAGTGAGGAAGGGCATACGCGCACCTCACAATCCTCCGCTAAAACACGGTTGCATACTTTAAAATTAGGGTTTTGGTTCAACTTATTTATCATATTTATGTTTGAGTCTTAATAAACAAACTTCAAAAAGAAATAAACCAAATCGAAACACATTTTTTTTATTTTTTGGATTGAAATAGGCAAAATCAAGAACATGCATGCACAATAAACACAAATGAAAATTAAATGGACTGATTTGATTAAAATAAAAAAATAAAGGACTGATTTGAAAAGGTTTGAAACTTTTGGACTAAAGTGGTTAAACATGAAAGGATTGTGCGAAATTGAAATAAAAGAGATAACTTTTGATTTTTTTTTTTTACTTTTTAACCTTTTTAGTTTTTTTTTTATTGGATTGGGTCGGGTTGATCTAACCCAAAAAACACGAACCCACCAACCAAAGTGGGCAAAAACATATTAAAACTAGACAAAAATGAAATCTGGACAGAAACAGAAAGGATCTGGATTTTCTGTTCGGCCATCCAACAAAACAGAACAAAGAAAGCAAGTAAACATCCATTCCAATTCGGATCCATGAAATTCAACAAACATGCATGATTTCATTCGCAGTATCATCATCTAGTACAGTTTTAATAAAGCAAAACTCTATGAGAATCAGAATCAAACAAGGTGAAATTTCTGGGAAAAAAAGCAGATTGAGATCCGAAGGGAGGGATCCCACCCACGGGATCAAGCTCCCTTCTTCTCCCTCACGGCTCTTCCCAAAAATTCCTCTGTTCAGAAATTACCTAAGGCAATGAAACCCAGAAAATGAAGTTCCTATGGAAGCTCGGTGATCCTTCCTCTCAACCACCGTTGTTGCCCCCTTTCTTCTCCAGTAAATCCCCTTCTATTGCTCTCAAAAACTCAGACGAAACTCCCCAACAAAGAGACCCAAAATCAACCAACCTTTATTACTCTGCTTTTGCCCTATATATATACCCCAAATGATAAAAATAAAAATAAAATGCAACAAAAGACAAGGGCCTTGCTCTGTCAATCAATGATGCCAATTTGTCCGGTACTCCTTGTCTTTTTTGCATGTGAGGCAAGGATGGGGGCTGCAGTAATCAGCGGTGCAGAGGCGCGGGATTGGGGTGAGGCGCGGTGTGCAGGGAGGCAGGGGCGTGGAGTGCTGATGATGGCTCGGGCGTGCAGGGGCATCATTGCC